GCTGCTGTCAAGAGTCTTAGCTGGAGTTAGTGGGAGAGATCATATCCCTCCAGTTTTAGCTTCTCTCCATTGGCTCCCTGTCAAATTCAGAATTTAATTTAGTCTCACTTCTAATCTATAAAGCCCTCAACAACCTAGCTCCATCAGATATTAGAGATCTTATTATTCCATATTTTTATAACAGAGCACTTCTTTCTCAAACTGCAGGCTTACTCGCGGTTCCTAGAGTTTCCAAAAGCAGAATGGGAGCAAGATCTTTCAGTTATCAGGCTCCTCTCTTGTGGAACCAACTTCCAGTTTCTGTCCATGAGACTGACACACTGTCCAGTTTTAAGACTGGGCTTAAGACTTTCCTTTTTGATAAATCCTATAATTAGGGTTGGCTTGTTATGCTGCTATAGACTTGGACTACTGGAGGACAAATTGACCTAATTTCCTTAAACGATGAATAGTTTTCATTTGACACTGTTTCTATCTTAACGTGTGATTCTCGACCTGCCATTGTGTATCTGTTCTTACCAAACCCAGCCGGTCGAAGCAGATGACTGCTTGTCCTGAGCCTGGTTCTGCTGAAAGTTTCTTCCTCGTGAGCGAGTTTTTCCTGTTCCACGTGTTTGCTCAAGATGAGTCTGCGATGGAGTTAAATTTAAAGCAGTCTGCTCATCAGATAAATAGTGTTAAATTATTATTTTTATATATGAATGTTTCTGTTCGATGCCCTGAGGCGACTTCTGTTGTGACTTGGCACTATATAAATAAAACTGAATTGAATTCAATGCAAGTGTCTTCATGAAGCTAGAAGCATATGATGTACATTGACGTTTAAAGTTGAATGTTTGTGTAGAAATGCTTATATTAGTCTAAAAATTAAAAACATTTAATGATGATTCCTCCTATTGAATGGATCCATTTTTTTAAAGCATTTGTGGGCCAAGATGGGTTAGAGGTAGGGCAGCCGACCTGGGACCAGAAAGTTGCGGTTCGATTCCCAGCTATCCGCATGTCGTTGTGTCTCTGAGAAAGACACCCAATCCCCAGGTGCTCCCCGGGCGCTTACATAGCTGCCCACCGCTCCACCTGGGTGCATCGCTGTTGTGAAGGGTTAAATGCAGAGAACTAATTTCACCATTGTAGGAGAACATACAATGATGACAATCTCAAACTTCCTTTCCCTTAAGCTTTGAGGAACCTCTATTTTAGTGGTGAACTGGATGTTTTGCTCTTTTCTGGGAACTGCTTTCTTATGAGTAACAGTAATAATAAGGGGTTAGTAGTAAAAAAAAAAAAAGTTTTCAGTTTGAATAATAGTTAAATGACGAGAAATCCTCAGTGTATTTTGAGGGGGACTTGTTGGCTGTTGCTTTGGGCTGTTTTAATGGAATCAGGAAAACCAATTTGACCTTTTTGCAGGTCTTCCTGCAACAACAGCAATATGAAAACAGTTGAGCAAGCAGCCAGCTCATGGGGTTGTTTTTATACATGCTTGCAGATAATTAACCTTTCGGTCCTGTTCAGGCCTGGCACTAATATCCATCTTGGGCGATTTGATTGCAAGTGGACAGCTTCGATGAGAGCGCTCACACCTGTCAGTAAAATGTGTACCCCAAAACGTTTTTGCGATCGAATGTCAATTACTCACATATAATAGCTTACAAGGACCACAGGGGGTGCAGTCAGCTCTAAAACAATCATAATTTACAAATTAAGGCAAAACGCACCACACTACATTCAAGTTAAATTTAGACTTTTGTTTAAGACTTGTTTTAGTGGCACCACACTGCTCTCTGATTAATAAAAGGCAGAGAGGGCAGACATATTTATATGAAAAATATACTAATCAATCAATCAATCAATCACTCAGTCAATATACTATATTGATCCCAAAGGGAAATTTAATTTCAATACATCTGTCAAGAAAAGAAAACAACAGACATGGGGGAGACAAATGTCTGAGGCTTGAGCCGCAGAGAGCAGCGCCACCTTTTCATTAGATAAGGAAAGTGAAAAACATCAGGAAAGGTAGGAGGTATAAAAAAAGTAACAAAAAAAAAAAAGACTTCAGTACAGAAAAAGCAACCATAAATAGACATAATACATATGCGTGTGGAGTGGGTAGGGGTAGGGGGTCCCAGCACGGACTCCAGGTGGGCGACACAGCCTTTTGGCGCTTTCACATCTCCTAGGTTGCTGCACCAGGGAAGACAATGAGGGAGGCTGGTGAAGGCATGAGTTTGAGAGGAAATCGTAGCACAGCACAATCCAGAGACCCCCAGCCATAGTCCTGATAAGAGGTGATTGTTTATCAGCCAGCTCGGTTGAGCTCTGACACTGTGCCACGTCCTTGGGGAGGGGAGCAGAGCGTCTTGTTTCCATAACATCCAAAGAGAAATTGAGATAGTCAGCCTTCCAAGGCCAGAGCCAGATTCATATTTCAACATTGTTTTGGGTCAGGCCGAGCTCTTTAACTTCTTTATCTACCTTTACAGTCTCACTAATATATCTCATGACGACTCCAAACAGCCGAATTGTGATTACTTACGCCGAAGTCGGGTTTACAACTTCTCCAAGATCTGTTCCTTCCAACCATCCATGAACATTGACAGAAGTTCCACATAAAAAATTTAAAAAAATCATTAAAAAGTTTTATTTTTTTAAAGCCACATTTGAGATGAAGGTTTGTGAGCTCAATCATCCAGGTAAATAAATCACAAAAAAGTCAAATCAGGTCATCAGGACAGCTTCTTTTTGGGAGAAACATTTTGTCTTTCATCTAAAAGACTTCGTCAGTCTGAGGCCTGCCAAAAACTGGCTTTATGCATGCATACATTTGAGATGGTTGTTAATTTTGTTTAGCTGGAAGCTGAGATCTTTTTTTTTTTTTAAACTTGGAGACCTCCAGGAAACAACTCTGCTGCTTGTATGCAGCCAGGCTCAGGATAGATGGCTTTCAGACTGCCAAATTATGCAGACAGAAGGTGTTTTAAGAAAACGAGAGAATTTCCTCCTGTATTTAGAGTTTTCGGAATGTAAATTGATTACTCAGTATGCATGTTAATGTGTGTGAATAAGGTCTAAAAGAGAGAATGGCTCAAACCCTTCAGACATCTAAATGTCTGAAGTTGGATGCTCACCTGGATGTGGCTCATGTGAACATTATCTTGTCTTTTTCTGCCTGAGAGGAGCAGAGAGGAATCAAGGGCAGCACGACAGATCAGGGCTAGTTAATGTCGCTGTTGTTCGGAGACTCCCAGCTGCTCCCTCTTAGAGGTAAGAGCACAAAGGGCCTCTGATCGAGTGTCTCTGTTCCAGACCACCCTGTCTCTCCTCCCAAACACTCACACAGAAGCAATTGCACACAACCATCTTCCCAGATAGAACTTTATCGACACACCTCAGAGGCTCCATAAAGTTTTCTGGGTCACGTTGCAGAAAAGTCCAACCACTCATCATATTTTAGGACTCTTAATCCAGTTTTTCTAAGGAAATGGAGCAGGAGAGAGGGGGTCGTCTTTATATGAGCTGAGTAATGAGTAATGTGATTAGGAGAGCTCAGTCTGCTCATGGAGCTGACTGGAAGGAGCTGGTGCCAGTAAACAAGCGCTCACTGCGCTCTCGGTGCTCTCTGATTGAGGCTATGGGGCCACACAAGGTGGGCGGTCAGAGGAAATGTGCTACCCGTCTGTCACTCTGTCTGTTTGTCCTGTTGAAATGTTTAATCACTACACTTGAACTACTAACTTGTCTGGACTCTGATCAAGTCTCAAGTTGGCGCTCTGAAGGCCGACTCCATTGAACACACTCAGCATGAATTGGCTGAAATATTCATGGTTTCTTATATAATCGTTTTGATAAAACCACGAAGCAGGTGTTAGCTGCGGGGATGCATGTCGTGCACTTTCTATTTGCGGTCAGGCTTTTTCTTATGTTTAAAAGAGAACACTAAAGTCTAGAACCCAGGGCTGTTAAAGGATGTACCTTGTTTTAGATTCACTCCTCCCACGTAATCACTGCCATCGTCTGAATTAAACTTTCTCATCCGTGTTTTCACCGTGTACATTCAGCCTCGCAGTGCTGTGTTAATTCAAGCCTTTTCACAAAATGTACCCAGCAAGTGACGGACACATTGAAGACTTTGAACCTGGTTTAAAGCGGCGCCGCTATAAAAATTGGCTACAGGGAAAGAAGACAAACAGTGGGGGAAAAAAGCAAAAGCAAAAGCATTTAGCTTTGACTGATGGATAAAAAGAAGTATGGTTTCTCCTGATTTGGTGCCTATTAGTATTGTGTGTGTGCATTCTGTGCATGATTGGATGATTAAGTTTGATTGTGTGTTTAGGAGAGGGATGAGACCGAGACAATGAGTGAGATCATTTGCAAAATCTGCATTGTTTTAGTTTTTACCACTTGTTTGAACACAGATACATGCACAGCCACACATCTCTTAATTCCACACGAAGACGGTAGCTAAAGCAGCTATGCTTACCTACATTTAACCCGTTGTGGATATCTGTTAAAATGTAATTTTTTTTCTTCCCATTTTATCATTTGGCAAAAAACTAAACAACCAGAATGCAAAATAAAATAAAAAAATTTCTAAGCGACACCAACTTTTTTTAAACGTAGTTTAAACAGGTCACATGTAATTTGTGGCACGCGGCCCTTGATGCTGTCATCTCTCTAAATTTGTTGCCATTTGTTAGCCCCTCCATCTATTGATTTTTCCATAGCTGCCTGCCAGTAAGTGCTGTCTGAGATCTTTCATATCTAAAAGCCGGTCAGAGCAATCTCAAAGCCACAGGAAGTCCAATGCATTTACGGAAAGTTCTCTCCATGTTGATGCCTTTCTCTGTATTGATCATGTGGAAATGAGCAGCCAGTAAATTGCTCTTGTTTCAACTTTCCTGCTGGAAAAATGAACGGCACCGTGTATTCTGGAAAGAAATCACATTAATTTTCCTGTCACTGTCAAGATTCTAACAGTAATTCCATCTCCTTATCAGCCTGCCACATAGTGCCAAGGCAAGCCTGTCGCTTTCTCCGACTGGGCTGGGACGGGCAGGCAGCGGCGGAGGCTCCCCTACATCCAAGACAAGCTACTGCGGAGGGGTGCCGGTGGAGGACATGCAGGCGCTGGCCATTACCTCTCTGTCTGCAGCAGATGTAGCCAAACAGTACGAGCACATCCGCGAGCTGGGGAAGGGCACGTATGGCAAGGTGGACTTGGTGGCACACAGGACACAGGGTGAGTTAGTTAATGCACATACATTAGGTGTGGCCTTTATCCTATTCTTGTTGGGTTGCTTTAACTGTAAAACAACTGCAATGCCTATTTTCAGTTGTAAATAAATACCCAAAATAGCAAGAAGCTAACTTAAATTTCTTTGTATACTTTGCCCATTGGTTTTGGTTACAGGCACCAAGATAGCGCTGAAGTTTGTCACCAAGAACAAGACAAAGCTCAAAAGTTTCCTTCGAGAATACAGTTTAACAGGCTCGCTGAGTTGCAGCCCTTTCATCATCAAAGTCCTTGATGTGCTTTTTGAGACTGAGGACAGCTATGTGTTCGGACAAGAATACGCCCCCGCCGGAGACCTTTTTGACATCATACCGCCACAGGTACTGCCATCAGTCTTTTCTCCATCCAATCACCATCCTCGCCCGAACCGAGTCAGTCCAATCAGCCCCAGTGTTCGGATTGAGAGGTTTTAACAAGCTCTCCAGGGATTGGAGTGTTCATTCTGGTTATCCTTCTGCACAAAAGCTTTCTCTTTGCTTTGGTCCCATTTCAGTTGATGTGCAAGAAGTTCTTGACTTTAAGACTCTTTCAGAGAGTCATTAAAGCAGATTGCACTGGAATTTCAAAGTAATAATCTTTTATAAGTTTTCTTTTTTAGTGGATATGGCTTTTTTGTATTGTTCCACTTACTAAAGTGGAAAGTACACTTTTTACTTACAAAAATGGAAAGTGTACATTTCACTATATTGTCCTCTTTTTATAATGTTACTGTGACCCTCTCATCATTAGGCAATCTGCCGTGTCATCTCTCAGAGTATGATGTTTCTATGAGTTCTCACCTTGTGTTTGTTTTACAGGTGGGTCTGCCTGAAGAAATGGTCAAGCGCTGCATGCAACAACTAGGTTTGGCCCTGGACTTTATGCACAGTAAAAGTTTGGTGCATCGGGATGTCAAACCGGAAAATGTGCTCTTGTTTGATCGTGAATGCCGCCGCATTAAGCTGGCTGACTTTGGCATGACCCGACGGGTGGGCTGCCGAGTGAAACGTGTCAGTGGCACCATCCCCTATACGGCACCGGAGGTGTGCCGAGCTAACCGCTCCGAAGGGTTTCTTGTGACGACCAGTTTGGACGTGTGGGCGTTTGGCGTGTTAGTTTTCTGCATGCTGACAGGTAATTTCCCCTGGGAGGCGGCATTGCCAACCGATGCCTTCTACGAGGAGTTTAGGCGCTGGCAGAAAGCAGGTTGTCCGGTGGGAACATACCCATCTCAGTGGCGCCGCTTCACTGATGACGCGTTGCGTATGTTCCAGAGGCTGCTCGCTGCTGAGCCGGAAAAACGCTGTGGGGTCAAGGATGTGTTCTGCTTCATCAAGTATGAGCTAGTCAACGAGCTCAGGCGCAGAGCATCTTACCGGGCAAAAAGAGGCGAGAGGTCAAGCTCAGGAGTTTGCACCGGCAGTTGCACGGCTTCCTTGTCATCACGCTCCTCCCACAGACACCCTGATACATCCACCCCTCCAGGAACATCCTGTCTGCGCCCAGGGCCTCTTAAACGTAGTGTCCTCTCTGACCCGCTGTCTCCCAGGGAGGAGTCCGGGCAGCACCAATCTCCAGGCCGAGACAAGAACAAAAGCCAGATGGTGATGGCAACAGCCATAGAAATCTGTGTGTGACAACGTTAATGGTGGATCCAAAAAACAGATGGCTTTTCACAGTAATAACAAGCTGTGTAGATGACTACCACAGAGACTAAGCGAATAAAGGAGAGGTACTCAAACCTTGAAAGAGAAACTCAGGGTCCAGTTCCAGGCTGTGGTAAAGGACATCATCGATCAGTGGTAAACGCCTGGACAGCTTATCACTGAGATTCTATGAGATTTAAGTTTTGATTTATAACCAAAGACTGCTTCCTAAGCAGAGAAACCATGCAGGCAGCATTTTTGGAGCTCCTCTAAGGATCTACTTATTTTGACAACCTCATATTGGTGTTTTCTCCCCATATACTGTGGTGGTGCTGATTATTTCAAACCTAAATTTACTCCACATCTCTATATTTCAATGTTTAAAAGTTTTAGCTCTAGGTAGGCTGAAGACGAATATAATTGACTGCCACTTTTCAAACTTCCTGCCCACTTCCAGTGAATAAAACCAGACGTATCCAATACTAGGACTCAAGATGAAACATAATACATAATGTAGCATTTTGTATGAGACAAGTTTCTTATTTTTCATATCGGTGCCTGAACTGACAGGTTCACAACAGGTAAGCACCAACTCAGGACTCTTCAGTGGAAAAGATTTCTGTTTGATCACAGATGGACATGAAAACGTGGCACCTACGAACAACTTTCAGTGAGATTTATTTCCACTGTAACAACAAAACACAGGGAGTGTGCATCTTCTGACTGAACATTGTGAACAAAGACAAGATGAAGAACTGTCCCTTTTTTCCTTTTTTACTTGTGTGTTTTAAAAAAAATTGTATTTTAGATGCTAAAGCACAACATTTTTGTAAAGGAATATAAGAGAAAACTATAACTGTATTGTACATAACATGATACTTTTAGGAGTATACTGTCTATTCAGGTAGTTTAATGTAGCTGTACTAATTTTCTACAACAATGAAGAAGTTTGGAGGTTTTACAGCCACTGTTGGGGCAATGTACTGCATGTAGCAACAAAACCTGACTGGAACAGTCTAACTCAACAGTAAAATCTATAGATGTGTGATCTAAAGACATAGTAAATTGTTGTAGCAACTGCTGTTCTGGTTTTTATCTAAAGTGTGTCAGGTAAACATTTTAGGTTCAACACATAAATCAGTGATTTGATTTTTGCAGCTTTGACCTCAACATGAGTCAAATTTATTTTCAAAGTTAAGTTTAAGTTAGAACTTCGTTGACTGAGTTGAAGCTAATGAGAGCCGCGCTGCAGGTTGACGCCTCGCTCTCAGAACTTGTCTCTGTCCGCTTGCTGTCTTTAATTTGATCTCATTGGGAAATTCATCCAAACTAAGTGCTCAAACAGCAAAGCTCAGATGTTTATTGCTTGGGATGTCAGCCACTAACATTGTGCGCTGATTGATCGTGACCAGGGCACATGTAATAACTCTGGCTTTCATCAGGAGACGGCTAATTATGAAAGTGCCTCAAAAGCACAAAATGTTCCGTGCAAATGCATCACCGTGTGCTCTGTACCATGAGATTTCACACTTGAATTTGTCTTGTGTCAGGCAGGTGTGTGTGTTCGTGTTTCTCGTTTTCCATCCATGACAGCTCGACACCTCTGTTGCTTTCATGACAGTCCTTCTCAGGTTCAGTGTTGGTTCTTTGCTTGAGAATTGAGTCTAAGTACTAATGAGACAACTTGTTGCCTCCCCACCCCCACCCCACCTGTACAAACCTGCATGACAGTTGCTTAGCTTATTATGCTGAATGACACATTTCAGCAGAAACACATATTCCAGCACTTTTTGTGTGAGTTGTTACACAGCTTTATCAGATCTAATCAAAGCTGATGATGGGACCTATCATTAAATCCTTATTGACTGAGCCTGAAGTATCAGAGGGATTTACTCTATCCTGAGACAAATAATTGTTCAATAAATAAGCCATCAGTACTTTGCCATAACAATTAAAAAAAAAAAGCTTCAATCTGATAATCTGGAAAATTTAATGATATGGATAAGTGGATTTTAGATTATGTTTATATGCAGCTCTGTGTGTATAGCTCAGATCTGAAAGCAGGGTTATGTGGAACATTAAGAACAATTATTGTCTTAATTGTTCTAGCTGTGCTATAGATGTATGAGGTCTGCAAACGGAGGTCACATATGACTACCGTTTGCAGAAATTGAGTTTTTAGTTCTGATCAGATTTACAGTTAAATTCAATTCAGTTCATTTATATAACGCCAAGTCACAACAGAAGTTGGTTCAGGGCAGTGTACAAAAACTTTCACATACATAAAAATCCAATTACGGTAGTAAACGTTATCTATCTAAGGAAGCCAGCAGTTTGCATTGAATTTTCACTTTGTCACAAGCTCCCATCCTGAGCAAGTACAAAGGCAACAGTGGAAAGGAAAATTCCCTTTTAACAGGAAGAAACCTCCAGCAGAACCAGGCTCAGGACGAGTGGCCATCTGCTTCCACCGGCTGGGTTTGAGAGGACAGGAAGGAGAAACAAACAAACACAGAATTCATTCAACCTTTATTTAGACAGGTTAGTCCCATTGAGCCTTGAGGACTCATTTACAAGAGAGACCTTAATGACAGGTCCAGGTGTACTTTCTATTGAAAGAAATATAAAAACACATGTTAAGATAGAAATAATTACAAATATAAATCAGGTAGAGCAAGTTAATACAGCAGTAAATTGAGGAAATGTGGTCAATTTGTCCTCCATCAGTCTAAGCCTATAACGGCATAACTAAGGGATAGCTCAGGAAACCCAAGCCAACACTAACTAGGATTTATCAAAAAGGAAAGTCTTAAGCCCAGTCTTAAAACTGGACAATGTGTAACCTTCACGGACGGAAACTGGAAGTTGGTTCCACAAGAGAGGAGCCTGATAAATGAAAGATCTGCCTCCCATTCTGCTTTTGGAAACTCTAGGAACCGCAAGTAAACCTGCAGTCTGAGAGTGAAGTGCTCTGTTAGGAAACTATGGAACAATAAGATCTGTAATATAAGATGGAGCTAGGTTGTTGAGAGCTTTGTAGGTTAGAAGTAGGATTTTGAATTTTACTCTGAATTTGACTGTGAGCCAATGGAGAGAAGCTAAAACTGGAGACATATGATCTCATTAAAACTCTGGCAGCAGCGTTTTGGATCAACTGAAGATGTTTTCAAGACGTATTTGGACACCCAGATAACAATCCATTGCAACAGTCCAGTCTAGATGTGACAAATACATGACCAGTTTTTCTGCATCATTTTTAGACAAGATGTTTCAAATTTTAGAGATATTACGCAGGTGGAAGAAGGCAGTTCTTGTAACGTTATTAATGTGGGAGATAAAAGACTTTTCCTGATCAAAAACATCAAGGTTTTTAACATTAGAACTGGAGGCCAAATTAATGCCATGCAGAGAAAGTGAAAGACTACAAAATGTATTCCTTAGATGCTCAGGTCGGAAAAAAAAAAACACAACCTCTGTCTTGTCTGAGTTTACAAGCAGAAAATTTAGAGTCATCCAGGTTTTTATGTCTTTAAGACATGCTTGTAGTCTAAGTAACTCATTAGATTCATTGGGTTTCATGGACAAATACAACTGTGTATCATCAGCATAACAATGAAATTTATCCCATGCTATTTAATAACTTTACCTAATGGAAGCATGTATAAATTAAAGAGTATTGGTCCAAGCACTTAACCCTGAGGAACTCCATGACTAACTTTGATGTATGAAGAAGGTTCATTATTTACATTCACAAAGTAGAATCTATCAAATAGCCTTGTTGCTGTTTTTAAGTGCTTTATAAATGAAGTGGTATGGTATGGTAAATATGATTTGAACCATTTTAGAGTTGTTCCTGTAATCTCAATATTATATTCAAGCCTCTGATCAACTGTATCAGCTACAGCTCTGAGGTCTATTATCTCTATTTGCAGCTAATTTAAACAGTAGTAGCACTTACTGTACAGCCTGAAGCACTTCCTGCAGGAACATGGTCCAATTCTGCTGGAATAACCACATAATGTGAAGATTATGTCAACTTTAAAAACAAGATTTATAATTTTTTTCTAAACAGCAGCAATCTAGTTTGGTTTGAGACTTACTTGAGCCAATAGGTTATACATTTTGTCAAAAATAAACTCTAAACTGAGTCCACACAGAGAGCTATCTACAACAGGTAAGATACTATTGTTCATTACCTTTTCACTGAACTCCACTTTAATGAATCTAAACTATCTCTTTAAAGGAGAGGACATCTGGACAGGGTAAGAAAAATTAATTTAATTTAGTACAAGTAACTATTGATAATAAAACAATAAGGATTTTTGTGAAATGTATTTTTTTAATTTGCAAATTATATGCTATACTGAAGAACGTGTTCCTTTGGTTATATTTATAAAGCAAAAATCTGAACTTCCTTAAGCCTAGTTCCAACATTCTGTGAACAATAAGAACAAAAAACGTTTGTTAAAAACCACTTGCAGACAAATAATAAAGGTGGAACTTTGGAGGACATGGGTGCTGTTAAAGTGGATCAGTGAATTTAAAATATCATTGAAAAATCCCTTTAAAAGCTTATAAGAATAATTTCTACACATATTCTATAAATATATATTCTGGTCACCATTTAATAAGCAATCACTAAACTTCTTCAATCTAGTCAAAATTTATTTCAAGATTTAAGTAAAAAAAAGGCACTTTTTTTTAACAAATGTGACCTGATTTGCATGTGCTCAATAGACTATTTTTTTTTTTTTATATAGTTTTACAAAAACTATAATTTTAAGGCCAGAACCAAACTTTTAAAATTGAAACAAACGATAAACATACAGGCTAGCTTTACCCATATTGTCTTCTTTTACTGCATCATGATCATAATGGTTAAATTGGAACATACTGCAGATTTATTTATTCTGTGGAACAGATTAACAAAATGCAACATTATATAAATTGTGTTTAGTAAACTCGTTGTTTTGATTTAACCAGCTGTTTCCTACATCTTGAGTTTTTAGTATCATTACCAATAGTTGAAATGTGAACTGTTGTTTCCCATTGACTGTTATGAACTGTTAAAAAAAGTGTTGAATTATATTGTTTGTTTTTTTTTCAACTTTTGAAAGTGTAGCCTTCCTCCACTTTTATCCTGATCAAATGACAAACTGACATTCTGCCAGCAAATCTCATTTTCAAACCTAATAATTGTATATATTGTTCATACTGTGTCTTTAACAAAGGGAAATGATAAACAACATGTTAATATATGTTGAAATAAATTTATGCACCACATCCTGTAGCTCTTGTGTATTTCTAGGCATGTGTGACTTTTCTTGTTGTTGATTTTCTTTAAAGCTTATTCAGCACAGCTTTGTGCCATCCTCAGCCGGTTAGATGAAGGTCAGCTTGAATCACATGCGATATCCCAAGGCTTAGTCTTTTGTCTGCTTCATCACTGAGCCTCCAGACGGCT